GCAGGGACGCTCCGGCTGCGCGCTGCGAGCCACGTGCCCGTCCGCCCTTCCCTCGCTCGCTCACTCCGCGCCCCTGGCCCGGTTTGCTCAGTAAACTAGCGCCCCGCACCGAGGATCGGCATTCGGGTTCCCGCCCCGGAGAGCACCCCCATCCGGACAGTGTGTACCGGTGAAGCCGGGGGCGGGACCCAGGGCGCGGAGACCAAGGCCGACGCAGGCCGAGGGGCCGCCCAGCCTGGCCACAGGGGACAGTAGCAGCGGCCTTGGGGAGGTTTGTGGGGGAACGTGGGACAGCAGCGACAGGGCGAAAAGGCGACGGAGCCCGGGAGGTTCTGGGAGCTGCCAGGACATTAGGATGCGGACGGCGAGGGGCAGGGACGAAGAGAGAACAGGCTAGAGTAGCAGGCACGGTGCTGGGGAAGCGGGGCGGCTCCGTGCGGTTGCCCAGATTGTCCACTGCACTAAGGAAAAGCTCGCCCGTGCTCCACCCACCGAGCCTGGAACCCTGGCCAGAGCCGAATCCGCCTAGAGGCGGCAGCTTTTTCTGGTTTGCACAAAGCCACCGGATGAGCTAAGCTGGCCGAAGAGCCACGTGGGCTAGCTAAGGATCTAAGATTTTTATCCTGAAATTGAAAAGAGGCTACTTGTATTATTCAGGGTTTTCCAAAGAAACAAAAAAGAAAAGAAAAATCTTATATATATATTTGGGAAGGCTCATGAGTCCAAAATCTGCAGAGTGGACGGCCGGAGACCCAGGAAACAGTTGCGGTCAAGTCCAAGAGCAGTCAGCTGGAAGAATCTCCTCTTCATCAGAGGTCAATATTTTTCCCATTAAGGACTTCAGCTGATTAGATGAGGCCCACCCACATTATGGAATGTAATCTGCTCCGCTCAGAGGCTACTGTTCATTTAAATGTTCATTTCATCTAAAATATACCTTCACAGAAACATCTAGAATAGTGTTTGGGTATCACGGGCCCAGCCAAGTTGACACATAAGATGAGGCATCACACTACTGAAGACCGGATCCAGATGACCTGGGTCAACTCGCTTATAGATCACTTTGGTTGGTGTACGAGCGATAGGTGTAGGTTGT